AACAAAAATAGTCAGAATAGTCAATTGGTCAAAAGGGGACAGTATAAAGATGATAATTTTAATCCCAATCAAAATGAAATTAAACTGCATCCTTTATAAATGCTTCTAAATTAATCATATAAAGCAAACATAACTGTGCTAATTGCATAAGAAACACGCATTTAATTCTTGCTTAAGAATGTATATAGATAAACCTCTTCCTCCCAAATTACTTATTGAATTCTTCAGGCAAGCAGATGATGAAAAAATAGTATTCTAAAGTAAGATAGTAATTATTTCTGGAATTCATGGATGGCTAACATTAGTTATTTATGTAATCAATAATATCATTCCTGGTTCTGTTTAAGGTGAAAAATGTATATATGATCACCTCTTAAATGCATCTGCACTCCCACCCCACTCTCCACAATTAAGCATATGATTAATTTAAATATCCTGATTGAAAGAGGATAGCTTTAGGAACCTAGGAATAGAAAGAAGTTTTCTGAACATGCAAGAAATGTTTTTCTTACACTAACCATCAGCATCATACTTAATGGTGAAAGACTTAAGGCAATCAATCATATTAAAATTGAGAATAAAATAGAAAGCTGATTAGGACGACAAAAAACATGAAGTAATTATTATAACAGATACAGCTTTTGACAAGTAAAAACACAATTGTAATATTTGCAAATAATAGTATTGTAGGCCAGGTGTGGTGACTGACACCTGTAATCCCAGAACTTTGGGAGGCCGAGGTAGGCAGATCACTTGAGGTCAAGAGTTTGAGGCCAGCCTGGCTAAAATGGCGAAACCCTGTCCCTACTAAAATGCAAAAATTTGCCAGGCATGGTGGCAAGTGCTGTAATTCCAGCTACTTGAGAGGCTGAGGCAAGAGAATCACTTGAATCCAGGAGGAGGAGGTTGCAGTGAGCTCAAATCATGCCATTGCACTCCAGCATGGGCAACAGAGAGAGAATTCCTCTCAAAAAAAAAAATAATAATTGTAAACATAACAATAACTGAATCAATTGATAAACATCTAGAACTAAAATAAAAGTTATTGGATATCAAATACATGTAAAAACACCTTAACTATTAGATAGTTAAGGTTTACTGATAATGACCAGTTAGTACATATACTATTGAAAATGTAAGATCATAGAAATAATTTTAATATAAGAAAAGCATGCTTGATTAGATGACTTTAAAACAATTTACTGTAAAAAAAAAGTTTACTGTAAGACATAAAATGTCTGAATGGAGAAGAGTGAGTAGTATAAATATAGCAATTCTTTACAGGCAGGTTAATTTAATTCCAATCAAAATTCCAGTAACATTTTTGGGGAAGAGACTGAAATAGTCAATACAAGGTCAGCTTGAAGAATATTCAAGAGCATCTAGGTAATTAGAAGAGAAGAGAAATAAAGGACTTTATTTTACTAGATATGATAACATAAAATGAAGGTATGCAGAACATTGTAATAAGAACTTAAAGGTAAGTAAAACAAAATGGATTATCCTGGAACATATCTTAATATGAATGAAATAAATTTGTATATGTTCAAATACAACAATGTTTCAAGGGGAAAAGGAAATATTAATTAGTATATGTTTCTTTACAGTGGTAATATGTATTTGAGGAAAAATTAGCTCCTCATACCATAGTAATAAGTGGATCTAAAATTAAATCATAAACATAATAGTAAATACTGTGGGATGTCAATATCAAAATATCTCAGTATAGAAAGCCACATGCCAGGGTAAGATCACCATCAGAATAAATCAAGTTAGAGAAACAGATTGCTCCAAGGATTGAGTCCCAAGAACACCACTATGTACATTTCAGAGTAATGAAGAAAACTGAAAGTAGCAGCCATTGAATTTAAACATCCTCAGAATGCCATGGCTTGGGAAGCAAATTGAACAAAGGGTTTTAAGAAGAATGGGGTGATTCACGGTGGCAATCACTGCTGATAGATCTAGTAAGGTGAACACTGGTGGTTGTACATTAGCCATTAGTTCTAGTATAGAAGAGCAGGTGATAGCCTGCTTTTAATAGTTCCAGAGAAATGGATGAAGAGAAATTATAGATGGGACAGACAGCTCTCCGCTGTATGAAAGGAGAAGAATGAAGTGGTTACTTAGAAGGGGAGTGAGTCAAGAGAGTTTGTTTTTGCTTTTAAGGTTAAAAAAAAAAGTGACAATAAAAGAGGGAGGATGGATTAGCCAGAGTGATGTCGTCAAATGGGAGAGGGGTGGAATTGAGAACATATGAGGAAGCTGTGATCTTTTCTGGAAACAAGAATAGTTCATCAAAAGTAATAAAAACAGTCATAATAATTAGGCACAGATGCAGAAAAATGAGTGTATGCAGTAGCGGGAGCTTGTGTTACCTCTCTTCTGATAGCTTCTAAATTCTCAACGAAATAAGAGGCAACACCATCAGCTGAGGGTAATGATGGGAGGGGCTGGGAGGAGACGTTTAGGCTTGAGAATGGAGGGGAAGGTATGAATCAATCACCTAGGAATGTGGAAAAGAAAACGGATGAGAGAAAAGTGGCATGACTGCAGAGCAACACAAAGGGTCCATTTGAAAAGAGTGAGCATAAGTTTCAAGTGAGATTAGAGAGCACAACTGTCTTTTTCTACAGCCACATTCAGCTTAGAAGGTGCAGGGATGGAGGAGATAATAGGATTCTCACGGTGTTGGAGTTCACGTGGGTAAAAAAGAAGTAAGGGAGTAGCAAGGGAAATGAGCGTTGCAAAGTGGCAGTACTAATGAAGGATCACGACTATTAAGCTGGTTACTAGAATAAAAGCATGAGCTAAGAAACAAGGAAAAAGTGTGTGCATCAATTGTGAGATTACACACGCTGAAGTATTTAGAAGAAGAGAACTGGAGAGAAAAGACACAGTGTTAAAAAAAAAAAATAGCACACGTCAAATGGAGACCAGAGAGGCACAAGGAGCTGAAAGCTAAGAGTATTGAAGAGTTAAGTTTATGGACATAAGAATTATGATGTAGTAGTGCTAGGGAAAATGACAATGAGACAGAGAAAATTGGCAGGGGTGCAAGGGGGAATCTAAAGGTTGGTAGGTGACTTCAACAAGCACAGAGAGGGAAGCATGAGCATCAAAGCTGGGTGCTGCAGAGCAGTGTCTCCAATGTTTTTGGCACCAGGGACTGGTTTCATGGAAGGCAATTTTTCCAAGGCCTGGGGTTGGGGGATAGTTTTGTGATGATTCAAGCAAGTTACATTTACTATGCACCTTATTTCTATTATTATTATATTGTAATATATAATGAAGTAATTATACTACTCACCATAAAGTGGAATCAGTGGGATCCCTAAGGTTGTTTTCCTGCAACTAAACAGTCCATCTGAGAGTGATGGGAGACAGTGACAGATCATCAGGCATTAGATTCTCAAAAGGAGAGTGCAACCTAGGTTCCCCCACATGCGCAGTTCACAATAGTTCGTGCTTCTATGAGAATGTAAAGCTGCCTCTGATCTGACAGGAGGTGGCGCTCAGGCAGTACAGGAATGCCAGGAGTGGGGAGCAGCTGTAAACGCTAATGAAGCTGTGCTTGCTCCTGCACCTGCGCTCACCTCTTGCTGTGTGGTCCGATTTCTAAAAGGCTGTGGATCAGTACTGGCCTGCGGCCCAAGGGTTGTGGACTCTGCTGTAGAGGAGGATGGATATTATGAAACTGGCATCGAGGGGCAGGAAAACCTGCCCCACCTTCAGACTCAGGGGAATGAAGAGAGTGAAGATGATGGCTACTGCAGCTGGGTGTGGTGGCACTTTGGGAGGCCAAGGCGAGTGGATCACCTGAGGTCAGAAGTTCGAGACCAACCTAGCCAACATGGTGAAACCCCCATCCCTACTAAAAATACAAAAAATTAGCCAGGTGTGGTGGTGTGAGCCTATAGTCCCAGTACTGGGGAGGCTGAGGCACAAGAATCGTTTGAACCCAGGAGGTTGCAGTGAGCAAAGATCACACCACTGCCCTCCACCCTGGGTGACAGAGGGAGACAGCATCTCAAAAAAAAGAAGTGATGGCCACTGCTTAGGAGGGCTGCTGGGGTAGCAGCATGCAGAGTGAGAGTGGGTTTTAGTCAGAGCAAGATGAAAAGAACATTGAGGGAAGAGGAGGATTCTGCAGAAGATTCTTTGTCTGTTTTGACCATGAGTTCCACAAGGCTCAGTGGAATGGTTTCAGAAGAAGAGCAGAGTAGGGAGACGGGCTTAACAAAGATGTCCACAGCTGTGGGCAGATTACAGTTTAGGGGACAAGTGGTGACATGGGCAACCTAAATGTCTTACAGTGACTACAATAAACAGGGTGGAACACATGAATTTCTGCTTGTTCTAATGCAGATAGTGGTGGTAGAGTGTTCAGGGTGCTAGAAGGAACATCAAAGAATAGAAGCAGCCTCAATTCTAAGGGAAATGGGTAAATTATGGGACAGCTGATCAAAGATTTGTAAAGATTTCAGGTAATATCTAACAACATAATACGACCTCATGATAGGTAAAAATGTAAAAGACATGAAACTGCATTAATGGTGTTATATAAATCTTACTCATAAACACATGTAAAAATTGGTAGGAAATACTTAAAATACTAAATTTTTATCTTATGTTGCATTTGGGGTGACTTTTTTTTCTTAATTATTTTCTGTAATTCCCAAATTTCTTATAAAAAGTTTACCTATAAGAAAATAATCAGAAAAAAAAGGCTGATGTAATTTTTAAATAGGTGTGTCTTCTGGTGCTCTTCTAAGATGCTGTGAAAATTCTATTTCTTGACATGAGCAGTGGTTTTCCCACTTATTTTTTCATTACCTTTTAAAATGTAGAATCTGTGAATATCTGTTTCCCTTGCATATTTTATTTCACACACACAGTGTGTTCCCTTGCAGTTTAGCCCGCCTCTGCACTGGAATTCTGAACATGTATAAAGAGAAATGAGTACGTGGACCTTGTTCAAGAAAGGCTCAGAGGACTACCTGGCATATTGATGTTTCAGGGTCACACAGGCTGCTGTGTCCATTACATTGACATGGAACACAGGTGCCCAGGGTCAGTCCAGGGCTGCGGCCACCTGGTTCAGAATGCAGTCGATAAAATCCCGGCAAGCATGCCTGAAAGAAAAGGAAGTCAATTAGGACAGCCAAATTAGAAACCTTGCATTAGCAATGCTTGAGCTCTACAGTGGCTAAAAAGGCAGACTGGCCTTCCCCTACCTACGGCACGGGCAACATCGCTTACAAAAACAAGTGCCCATGTTGATATCTAATGTGTATTTCTTCCTGGTCTCTAAGGTGTTCAGGTGGCATCCACGTGTAATCAGGCTTTAGCTAAGGAAAACTTTTATTTTTAGATACAACTCAGCCTGAAAAAGTTCAGAAGAGTCTTTTTCTTGAGAAAAGAAGTTTGTTTTCAAATAACATTGTCATATGGACTAAAGAGAATTCCAATATCCTTAACACCTAAAATCTGCTTTTACAGTGCTTGATGGATAACAAGCAAATGTCCAATGAAACACAGCAAAAAATTAAATAAAAAGTGTTATGGATGCATTGTTTATACTGATATAATTTAAAGACTATAGCAGTAAGAAATTCAAAATAATAAAAGCTCTACATGTCTTGGGACTATACACCACCATTAAAATTTATCTTTCCCTGATATAATTTTTTTCATTTTGCAATAAAAATCTGAAAGCAAACAGAAAACTTCTAGTGAAGCTGACATATGCAAATCAACACTTCCATCTTCATCTGGGTTTATTATGGAAATGTATCAACAAACATCCCTGGCTTTCTGAAACATAGGCCACTGTTCTGGAATGAGGATGAAGACAGCCTTTTGTTTCAGGTTCTGCCTTTTCTTCATACATAGCTGCAGACATTGCTTGATTTATGAATAAAAGTTAGGAGTCAGTTTTTCAAATCCCAGGGAAGATTATAAGGGGACTATTTTACCACCTTGGTTAAGTATGATTTTTTTTTTCACTGAAAAATCTTATGCCCATTGATGAAAGGAAAGTGATTTCTGACTAAGCAGGAAAAAATATCAGACTCAGAACTTTCTAGTGCCTCCAAATCCCTTTGGTTCTGGCCTAGGCAGTCCAGAGAGAAATATACAAAGAGGCTCCTTATAAAATGATCTAGCTTAAGAGTCAGCACTCTCCTTGTTTATTTTGATTTGGATAATGCAAAAGTACCTTAATTAAGCACTTAATCAAGAGACTCTCTGGTTTTATCACAGCCTAAAAGAAATTCTAATGAGATTTAATAATGTCCCAAATATGAGCGAGCTGATAAAGAAAACTGAGAATAGTATTCAAAATATTTTGAGTCTTATTTTTTTTATGGTGGATGTAATCATATCATTTAATGAAGTTCATACATATTATTCAAAAGCAAGGTTCATTTTTGCGATTATTACTGAATAAGTTCTGGAAATGATGGTCGAGGAATTCACTGAAGCATAACTGAAGAAACAAACCAAGATATATTTAAAAGTGGTTCATAGTGTGGGTTATTCCAATTCTTTAGCAAGCTGACCATTGAATAAAACTGAATTTTCTGTGCATGGATTTCATCCTTGAATACTTATATAATTATTGCTATATTATTGAAGTACTATAAGTACGTGTGTGTGTGTGTGTGTGTGTGTGTGTGTGTGTGTGTGTGAAAAACTCACACACCTTGAGAGGAAATTTCCAGCCAAACAAAAGTTTAAAATAAGTCTTAGAAGAAAAAGAAAGATAAGAAGCAATAGTTGGGCAGGTGAGGTGGCTTATGCCTGTAATCCAAGATGTTTGGGAGGCCAAAGCCAGGGGATTTGGCCTGAGATCAGGAGTTCGAGACCATGCTGGCCAGCCTGGTGAAACCTCGTCTCTACTACAAATACAAAAATTAGCTGGAAGTGGTGGTGGGTGCCTATAATCACAGGTACTCAGGAGGCTGAGGCGGGAGAATCACTTGAACTGGGAAGGCAGAGGTTGCAGTGAACCGAGATCACACCATTGCACTCCAACCTGGGCAATGGNAAAAAAAAAAAAAAAAAAAAGGAGGCAATAGTCTTCACTGAGGAATCATACAAAGGTTAGTGTTGTAGACCCAGACGTGAAGGTGGGCACTAAGGTGAAGTCTACTCTAATGCAAAACACTGTTTTCCTATTACTGTGACTTTTACCTGGATAGGCAGCCTGACACAATAGAAAAACACCCATGGAAGTCTGTGGTCCAATCTATCTATAGAGGAGGTGGAATCAATTCCTTTCAGGGAGAGTTGAGGCCCAGGTTTGTTTTAAAACTCTTAGGAGAATCTAATAATTAGGGTGCAATGTCACTTGCAAGCTCCTTATTCTCGGCTGTGCACGTGTGCCTTTAAAAGGGCATATGGACAAGGCGGGACGTAGTGGGTCACGTCTGTAATCCCAGCATTTTGGGAGGCTGAGCTGGGTGAATCAGTTGAGGTACGGAGTTTGAGACCAGCCTGGCCAACATAGTGAAAGCATGTCTGGACTGAAAATTCAAAAATCAGGAACTACTCTGGAGGCTGAGGCCCGAGAATTTCTTGAATCTAGGAGGTGGAGGTTGCAGTGAACTGAGATCCAGCCACTGGACTCCAGTCTGGGTCACAGAACAAGGCTCCGTCTCAAAAAAAAAAAAAAAAAGAAAGTGCATACAAACTCTTTGGTACTATAAAAGGAATGAATATGAAAGCTTTGATTTTATGTTAGTTTTGTCTGAAAGATACGGGCAAGTTACTCTGAGACACAGTTTCCTCAACCCACAAATGAGCAGGTGTGTTAACTCAGATGACTTCTAAAATGTCTTTCAATTCTAACATTTTAGATTAGTTTTGATTAATTTTGTGTCCTGATGGATTGCATTTCTATGAGGTAGGAAAAAAAGAAGAAAGAGAGAGAGAGAGAAAATATTTGACAATGCAAAAATTAGAAACTTAAAATACGTTTTAAAAAAACCACAGAAATTCTCTCTTTTCCTTGATCATTTTGTACTATTCTTTCAATTAAAAAACATTTAGGATGGTTTTCAATATTGAATGTTTTTCCTCTTGGCAAACTGAGACAAAGTTCATGAGAATGATTATGTTTGAATTGGAAGCAATAAGTTACTTTTTGAGTTCCATCTAAAATTCTTTCTGAAATACAATGGTGAATTTAAAAAAAAAAAAGGAAATAAATACTTTCCTGAGCTCCTCTTATCCATTTCTACTCTAATTAAACTTTTCCAAAGTTCTTTTCCCCAGTGTTGAAATTATTCATGTTTCAAATTTCTTCTACTCTCCTCTTTATTTTCATAATATATTGTTTCATTAAAACGTTAGATCATATTTACACAAATGTGGGAGGTAGAGAGGAGAGAATGAAACAAAGACAGCAGAAACCCATCATATCCCAGGCTCAGGGGTGCACACTGCATTCCTTTCTTTCTTCAGTGTTTAATAATAAAAATAGACACGTGCTGAAGCTCATAAAAACACTCAATCTTGTTTCTTTGCATGGATTTTGCAATCAGGTAAACCTGAGTTTGATTCCTGTTCCATCACTTTGTATGTTGTAAGGTTCTGAATATTGTGTGCCTCAGTTTCCTCACCCGGAATGTAGGAATATTGTATAGTCACGTGCTGCTGCAAAATGACACTCTGGTCAATGATAGGACCACGTATACAACAGTGGTCTTGTACAATTATAAAATGATATTTTTATTGTACCCTGTTTTGTTAAAATACACAAATACTTAGCATTATGTTACAACTGCCTACTGTATGCAGTACCAGTAACATGCTGTGCAGGTTTGTAGCTTAGGAGCAATAGGCTACCTCATGTAGCCTAGGTGTATACTAGGTTGTACCATTTAGGTGTGTGTATGAACACTCTATGATGTTTGCATAATGAAGAAATCACCTAATTACACATTTCTCAGAATGTAGCCCTGTCGTTAAGCAGCACATGACTGCAAAACCTAATAGTTGAGTACAAGTTTACCTAGGTTTTGGAAACAGATGTATTAAGGTTTGAACCGCTGTGTAGGTGTGTGATAATGGACCTCAATTTCCTCACCCCTAAGATGGGGATCATAAATTATAGTCAATGATGTAGGTGTAACTGTATTAGAAAATGTGCTTGGGATGGTACCGGAGAGAGTAAGGACTCAATCAGTGGTAAATTCGGTTTTTTATAGAGTTGTTCTGAGGATTAAATGAGATAAAGTATGCTTAATACATACATAAATCAATAGGTTTCTGTATTTCAAATAGTTTTTTAGATGTAATTGCTGGGAATAAACTAAAAATAAACACACCATGATTATTTTATTGTATTTGTAAACAAAATTATAATATAACTTACCGATGCCGTGTTCCTTAACACTTGTCTGTACATGAAAACAGAGACTTTGGGTCTCCTGAGTACAACAGAAGTGATAAAGGATAGATGTATGCATGTGTAAGTAGGTAAGACTTTTTTTGCATTTTGCCTTTTGAGCTTTATGTAATAGGTATAAATTATTTGGAGATTTTAAAAAATCAATTTTAGTAGCCATAAGGGCCAGCTTCTGAGTGGTAACCCAATAGACACCAGCCATTCAGCTGTGAGCCTGAAGCCCTATTAAAATGTGGGAAGAGAGGATAGAGGCTGAAACTATCAAAACATGACCTGGAGATCATTGACAAATTTCTGATTTCCATATTACTGCAGAGAGCTGCATATGCAATGCTGAATATTTTCCATTTTTAAAAAAGAAAGTTTTAAGTAAGAATGATATCTGCATATAATCTTTTAACTGCATATAGCTCAGTTTAAGTCAGTTTGGGCAATAACCTACATTTAATGTAACTTCAAAACAGGTTAAATAAAGTCTAACAAACTCAATGGCTCCAACAAAGAGAAATTTGGTGAGGAAATGGTGTCCTTTGTTTGACTCCTGAAGGTAATCTGTCCCCTTCTGCAAATAATAAATTATAATAGTTAGGTATTTCTAGAACTAACATTTTTAATCACTAGGGCCGCAGTGTCTTAACAGTACAGGTAGCAGGCAAAGGCTAAGTGTCTTTACAACTGGCTACATTTTAGTAGTAACTAATATTTAATTTTGTTTACTTGCAACCATACTGTGGATAAAAGCATGAAATAAAATAGCCTGTGATGCAGTTGTCTCTAGAATACCATATATTTTGTAAAAATATTGTAGAGGAATTGCTTTGTGTATTCATGACCCAAAGAACATGTTACTTGAATGGTATGTATTATTTCAAAACTGTCCTTAGCTCTTGCTTTGATGATAAAATTTTATGCCTGGGTAATTACACTTAGGAATGAAGATGAATTATAAATAAGATGTATAATGGATTAGAGGCAATGGGTTGTGGAGGACACCTCAGGTACCTTATTATGAGAGATAGGCTTTTATTTCTGTAATCTCTCTACTAAGGTATTATTGTAATTACTGTCTGTAAATAGATGCTTAAGTGAAAATCATGGGACATAGGTAAAGCCACTAATGTAGATGACAATTTGTAATATTCTTAGTTTTTTTTGATTTACACTTATCATTTGTTTTATTTGTGTTGATTTATATTTTTATATAATGATGGAACCCAACTAAAATTAATGAGAAAGCATGTATTTGAATATACTATTCAAAAAGTCTATCAATCATAAGAAGAAAAGTTTTTAACATTTAAAATGTGCAATGGAAGGTCAGTTGTATTAAAATAATTTGCTATTCTATTAACTTTTTTTGTTCGCAAGTGAACAGTATTATTTGAAATAAATGCATTAAAAATATAGCTGTAATAACCTTCTCTTCAAGATATCTAAAGGCCAAACTTGATTACTTACTGAATAATTCTACAGCAAAATAACATTGTAGAATCAGAGAATTTTAGAACTTCAACTCAATCTGTTATTTCATATGTTCAATAGCTGTATAATAACTAAGCCCTACAGCAATTAAGAACATTGACCAAGTGCACAGAGTTAAAAGTACAACCAAACACTCCTTGGGATAAAGGAAATTCCATCTCTTGTCTAGAAAAATCTCACATTCTTTCTGTCCTCTATTTTAAAATCTTCAATGCTCACTGGAAAGCTCGCCCATTTTAGATATGCCACACGGTCTCATTTTTCACCCATACTTGATATGTACATATTTATATTGGAAAGAGCAGTGCATATAAGCTTACTGGTGTGTGTATAAATAGAAGTATGTAGGAGTTATGATTTCATAAGGAGATGGATTACTTAATTATTTATTAGCTCAAAATGGACACATGTAAATAAACATTGCCCTTCAGAGCAGTCACAAGAAAGGCTAGAAAATTATTCTAAGCATGTGTCTCAAAGTAGTTGCCGTTATTCTATAAAATTTTTCCTTGAACAATGCGAAATCCATGTGATGGTAACTAAGCTGAATGGCATGTCAGTTTATAATGGGTTTTTAAAAAACTGTTTCCATTTAAATCAATCCTTACGATGTATAGATTAAAACCCAAGATTTGGCAACAAACAAAGCAAGCACCCTGTGCAAGTAGTGCAGCTAGGTAAGATTCACTGAAACCAAATTCCTTTTTCTTTTCATGATGCCATGTACCTCTCAGGAAATTTATGCTCATTATTTTTAAGTTTCACTTCAGTTTTGACCTAGTGTTATCTGTCTCATGTATCATACTTAATAAAACTTCTCAAATCCTATTTACAAAATAAGATGTATAAAATCATTTATAATTGAATCAATATATGGGTATATAACTAGTTATTACATTAATAATAATATTAACCATTGAAACTTACATCGACTACACACCAGGCACTATGATGAATCCTTAACATTCACAGCTCATTTAGTCTTCATAAGACTGTTAGGCAGTAGGTTAGGGAGATATTAATAATATCTAACTGGTATGCTGTGGGCACCATCCAGTCTGACTAAGGAGAAAGAATCCCAGCTGTAGGGCTAGAGCAGTCCTGGAGGCCCCATGCATGGCAGGCTTGAGACTGTAGGGTCTACGGGAGTGTGAAAGGATGGTGCCAGTTACTCAGGGAATTGGTGTTTACCTGCTGAAGCATAAAGAGGTGTAGCACCTAATCCCAGCTACTCAGGAGGCTGAGGCAGGAGAATTGCCTGAACCCAGGAGGCGGAGGTTGCGGTGGGCCGAGATAGCACCATTGCACTCCAGCCTGGGTAACATGAGTGAAACTCCGTCTCAAAAAAAAAAAAAAGCGGTGTAGCACCCTGTGCAAGGTCTCAGCCTCACTGTATGGTAAAGTTGGAGATTCAAACCCAGGCAAGTTTCTCATCCATTCATTCCACCTCCCTTAAATCATACTGTTACTGTTAACATTTCATAATTATAGAAATTCAATCAACTTTCAGAAGATGAAGATTCTAAGAAATCTGACAATTCTGAAGGCAGACAGAGACTATCCCAAAAAGTTTATTAAAATGCAGTTTTAAAATTACTTTTAAAATGCAAAAAACAAAACAAAACAAAACAAAAAGTTTTACAAATGTAATGACTGATAGCACTGTTGAAATAAATATATGTCCCTCTGAGAAGCTAATATTTAAGGGAACAGCCTGCTATTTAGTGTAAAAGTTTTGTCATGTTCTATATAAAAATGTTTCAAAACCCAGTATAATCCTATGTTACAATCACTGCAGTTTAAATGTCTCTAACTCTTTAGAAGTGGTCCAAGAAAATAGATCAGTTATAATAAATGGGCTTATAAAAACATTCTTAATTCCTGACTGTTAAATTTTTTCACAAATCTTTCAATTTTTTATCAACTATTTCCCTTCAGGTGTGATTTGTACTAAGGATCAATAACGTTATCCTCTTGCTACTGTGTCTCATACTGTGAGTGTAAGATTAAATAAAATAGGTTAATAGTATGTACACAGGAAAGGAACTTCTGGGAGTATTTCCATTTAGCTCCTGAAGTGAGTTGAGGTTAAGCAGGTTAGTAGGAGCTAGCTTACCTCACAGGACAAGCCAGAATAGCCTAGGGGACAATCACATTTTTCAATCAAGTGAGCTGGAGGAGTCGCTGCTGTTCTACGTCCTTGTTCAGCTACCTCCATTGAGATTTCGGAAATCCTGGAAACAGCAAGAATATACATAGATTATCATGACAGTCAGCTAAGATCACCTAGTAAACACTCAATCCTACAGCAATATCCTTCTCAGGTTTTTGTTAACCTCCAGTATGTTCTATTGTGTTTTTGTTTTGAATTGACAAATAATAATTGTACATAAGTTGATCCTTGAACAACATGGGTTTGAACTGCATAGGTTTACTTATATGTGGATTTTCTTCCACATCTGCTACCCCTAAGACAGCAGGACCAACCCTTCCTCTTCTTCCTCCTCCTCTTTTGTCTGCTCAACATGAAGACAATGAGGATAAAGACCTTTACGATAATCCACCTCCACTTAATATATTTTCTCTTCTTATTATTCTTTTTCATTTTTTTATATTTTTTGAGACAGAGTCTTACTCTGTCACCCAGGCTGGAGTGTAGCGGCATGATCTTGGCTCACTGCAACCCCACCTACCAGGTTCAAGTAATTCTCTTGCCTCAGTCTCCTGAGTAGCTGGGATTACAGGTGTGCACCACCATGCCCAGCTAATTATTGTATTTTTATTAGAAACGGGGTTTCATCATGTTGGCCAGGCTGGTCTTGAACTGTTGACCTCAAGTGACCCGCTTGCTTTGGCTTCCCAAAGTGCTGGAATTACAAGCGTGAGCCACTGCACCCAGCACTTATTATTTTCTTAATAACATTTTCTTTTCTCTAGCTTACTTTATGATAAGAATACAGTATATAATACCTACATAAATATATGTTAATCAACTATGTTATCATTATGACTTCTGGTCAAGAAGAGACTATTCGTAGTTAAGTTTTAAAGGTATCAAAAGTTATATGTCAATTTCTGACTGCATGAGGTGGGGTTGATGCTCCTAACCCCCATGTTGTTCAAGGGTCAACTATATTTATTGAAACAATGTAATATTTTGATATATAGATAAGTTGTGAGATGATTAAATCAAGATAATTAACATTGTTTTGAAGCTATTTAAATTTCCAGGGCTTATGTGCCACATCTTAATATTGCATTTTTGCTCCCTCAAATGTTAAGATTACATATTAGCAAAATATTCTCATAAATCATAAGAAGTTTAGTAAACTGGATGTCTGATATCCTATTGAGAAGTTATTAAAAAGATTTTTTCCCCACTTTTTAAAATGTGAGTAGCTTCAGGTAGACAAGACCAATTAATTAGACATTTATATTCTTGCAAACAGACAACCCAAGGTCTTTCCCCATTGGATTATCTCTCATAGGCACTGGTGAAATTGCTTTTAATTTACTACTGTCCCAAATTTCTTCTTCCCAATCCTCTGAATGTCCTTGCAAGAACTTTAAAAAACCAATGAGAAAATAATGATCACACATAATCTAATACATTGATTTTTTCTGAGGATAAAGTATGCTCCAAAATAATATTTTCTTAACTTTATTAAATAATTTCTTCAAGTAATTTAATTCACTTTTTCTGTTGGTGAGAAAGTCCTTATAATTGAAAAGAAAATCAATTGAAAATAACATATTAATACCCCTTTTTATTGATTTGAAAGTATACATTAAAAAATATATGCAGTCCACAAACTGGTACTATTTTATGGACTAACTGGAAACACAACCATGTTTTGCATATGAAATTTAAAATGAGACAATGAATGGTTTTGTTTGAATAAAAGTTACCTCCAGTAGCTAAGGAATTTGAATCACAAACTTTATAACAAGCATAGGTAGGTGTTACTGAAACTGAATTATGAATGCATGTTCTGGCTTTGGTAGTATTGTAATCTGCACTCTAAAGACTGGTCTTGATGAAACAGACATTCAATTAAAATTCAGGCTTCACTCTCCGCTCTTTATAGTATACACAGTGGTGGTGAGCTGTAAACAAACTACTACCCTCCTGCAAGAAAGACTTCTCCCTTATGTCCTCTGGACTCTCTGAGGAGTAAGAAGGTAAAGTGGTGTTTGTGGAAGAGTCTTTGCATTGGCATCTCCATGGAGTTTTATAGCCTGAGGAGCTACTGGCATCATTCTCCTTTCTCTTGCACATGAATGCGCACAACAGACGAGCAAGTGTTTACAAATCAAGTGAAGCTTGAATGGCAGCAATAACAAATATTTTTGCAATACACCATTTTTTTTTTCCAGGGGATTAGAGAGCAATGGCTTTGATTGCATCAGGGATTTGGCCAAACTCCAGCTTCCATTTAAATAAATACTGATTTGCGAAAGTTGCTATTTCCTTAAAATAAACTTTATAAAAGAAAAGAACAGCAAAGAAAAAAAGATAATGCCAGCACTGATGCAATGTATAAAGTTCAAATCTCAAACCACATATTAACTCTTAAACTCTCTCCTGTTGAGATTAAAATTTATAATTGAATAAATAAAGACACAGGGTTATTTTAATTACTTTAGTGGGACTATTAAAACCTTTTAAAAACCTTTGCCACCATTCCACTGCCTTACAAAATCAAATGCTGATGACATGCCTTATTTGTTCTTGCCATTGTGAGACTATTAACCTAATTTTTACTGAGATTAGAAAAGTGTTCTAAAGTTTCAAAAAAATGGTCACTTAAACCAAAGGATCTCATTAAGTGAGGCATGTAAAACAGTGTGATAAAAGAAAAAAATAGACATGGGGAAAAAAAGACAAAGTGTCCCACTGTAGGAAGGTAAAATTGGTGTGAGAGAGGCAAAGAAAGTATAATTAAAGGTGCATGACAACATTGTTTCCATCAGTTCCGCTAACAAGATGTTCTGTTTACTACCAAACCCTTTCACTGCAGTGCAGAACAATTTGCAAAATAATCTATTTGCAAACTCATGAAATTATCTGCTATTTTCTGAGACATGCAAATCTGCTATGGCTTCTGCCACGTAATTTACATTTGATATTCTAAAATAATTAACAGTATAGCTAACAGTGTTTTTTAAGTATATGCTTTTTAAAAAATTATTTCATATAAAAAGAATCTCCTTTTACAGTGAGAAATATCAAGAGAAAACCAAAGGAATACAGATATGAAAGTGAATTTTGGTCCTTGATTTACTGTTTTACTAAAAGTCCCTACATCAATCAGAAAAGGATTATGGATTTTCTGCATGAAATAAAAGATTTTCTGCTGTCTTGTGTGCTTATTACAGTATAAACACTTGAAAAATGGTATTTTTATATTCATTAGTTGGCCAATGAGAGACTTCATAATGTTTTTGTTTTGTTTTCCTAGGCAAGTCTAATAATTTAAGACTATTTACAAACATATATTGATTCTATATTCTTATAGAACCTAACAGAAACTGAAATGAAAGAGAAATTGAGATCTTGTAGATGAACTCGGCCCGTGGTATGAAACTTACCTACATCCATGTGATTTCTCATTTTATTCCATTGAATAAGGTGAACTTTCCACGCAAGGACCATGATCATGAGTGCTCATGATGTGGAAGTCTCTGGGTTCAGTTATTCTCTGGTTTAGTTATTCTCTGGTTTATTCTCTCTTTATTTATATTTTAATATTTTCCTCATTACTAATCCTTTCCCATGGTCTATAAACATACTCTTTGAAATTAAACAGTTATCTCTTTACTTTTGACAGTAAGTTATTCCTTCTGCGATTATATTCATGGAAAATAACAGTTTACACTCATAATATTGGGCTCATGTGTCACATTCTTTCTTTAAAAGTTTGAGATTATTTCTGCCCCAGGACTCCACTGAAACTGGTGTCATGAATGTTACCAGTGTGGTCCAAAGTGTCAGACCCATCAAGCCTCATTTTAATTGGCCAATTTGAGTCATAAGAAAACACAGAATACTCCCTTGAAGTATTCCCACCGTTCAGGTTCAACAACATTGTATTTGTTCTTGCTGTTCTGTGTTTTTCTAGATGTGATTCAGAATCATTTCTCATCATGAGGCATAGGGAAAGTGACAACATTGTATGGCATGCTGGGGTGAACAGATGAGAATGCTTATGGCTGGAGGAGACTGGACTGAATTGGCCCTGCCTCGTTCCCCTTATGGGTGAAGACGGTCACTTTCTCAGCACTCTTATAATCCATTTATAGCACAACAGTTAATTTTACCTGACCTATAGTACATGATCTCCTGAATTTATAACTAGCATCTTAAACTCACTATATCTGCAGTGAATTTCTTTTTTTTTTTACCCTCAAACTTGCTTCTCATGCTATTTTTCTTTTCTGATGAATGGCAGTAACTTCTTTCAAGTCACACGGAAGGCACCTGTGGTTTGTCTTCTATCACCATACTCCAAAACCAACTACTTCCCAATCTTTCTTATCTGATAGCTATAGGTCAATAACCTTCCCTATAGACTCTAGAATAAGAGCTTGAATTTTTTTTTATTATACTTCTGGGGTACAAGTGCAGAACGTGCAGATTTCTTACATAGTTATACACATGCCATAGTGGTTTGCTGCATCCATCACTCTGTCATCTACATTAGATATTTCTCCTAATGTTATCCCTCCCTCCCCTATACCCCCACTCCCTGCTATCCCTCCCCTAGCCCCCCACTCCCTGACAGGTCCCATTGTGTGATGTTCCCCTCCCTGTGTCCATGTGTTCTCATTGTTCAATATCCACTCATGAGTGAGAACATGAGATGTTTGGTTTTCTGTTCTTGTGTCAGTTGCTGAGAATGAGGTTTTCCAGCTTTACCCATGTCCTTGCAAGGGACATAAACTAATCCTTTTTATGGCTGCATGGTATTCCATGGTGTGTATGTACCACATTTTCTTTATCCATTCTATCATTGATGGGCATTTGGGTTGGTTTCAAGTCTTTGCTATTGTGAACAGTGCCGCAATAAACACACATGTGCATGTATCTTTACAATAGAATGATTTATAATCCTTTGGGTATAAGAGTTTGAATATTTTATATTATAGTTTACCTGCTTTGTCGCATGATATTTCCGTAAGTAGCCTTGATAAGAATGTAATGAATATCATACAGTATATCCAAGAAATCTTCCCGGGTCACAGTTCTATGTACTCGAGGATCGTCCCGATAGTATTTCCATTCTTTCTGTTAACAAGAAGAGAAATCACTCTGACAAAGCTGAATGCAAAACCCTGGGCATCTTTGCCCCAAACAATGAATAACTTTACCTCTGTCATTTCAATTTCATGCCTTGTCAATTGGCCAATCAGAGGAGCAGCCATATGTCTGACAATAATTCTAGCATGCGTACGTGTCCCACCTCGAATGATCACTTGAGGATTATATCTAGAGAAACCTGTTTCTTCTCGAGCCTCGAAATAGATTGCATACTTGAGTTTGCCCCCATAGGCCATCAACTGACAAAATAAAAAGAAGAATGAGGAATTGGATAAATCTCTAAATGGTGTTATTCTAAAAACAAGATTTTATCTTGTTCTTGCTTGACTTCAAAGTTCTTGTGCTTACCTTCTTTCCTTCAAATTGTTCTGGAAGTTTCCAATAAAACGGTTCCAAATGGAGATCTTGTCTTACCAGGTCCATGTCAGCAATAATCTCTGGATGTTGAAAAGCAACGCCCTTGGTGGTTGTGTGCTGCAGAGCCTCGTCTACCAGGGGTAGAACGGTCTGCTCAGCCTTCAGAGTCACCTGTAAGGGGCCAAAAGACAGCAGAAGGCTAAATTTATGTTTTTGGACATTTCTTTAAAACTAAGCTATGAACTGCATGTTTCTCTGCAGTCCCTATCCCCATTCTCACAAGCAGCAGAACTCACACATAGTGGGCAAGCATGGCAGGACATAAATCTTTTGACTAATTCACGCAGTGAAAACCACAGTATCTGTGAAGAGTGGCGTCTTTTACACTAATAAAAATGGAATCTAAATGTAGAAAGAGTTAAAGGAAAATAAAAAATGAACATGTTTCTACTCCAAAAATCATGATTGCCTAAGGTTGGTTGGAAGGAATGTACAACAAGTCCTGGTTCTCATCAGCTCGTTAGCGCCCATCAGCATTCATGCTCTGGGGCCCTCACTCTTTCCATCCCAAAGCGTAATGCTTCCCTGACAAGGTTCCTCTTTTTCACTTGCTATCTATTTCCTTATCAACAATAAATGAACTACTTTTAAGAACAAATAAGAAAGGCATGTACTCCAACTGTCTAAGGGCACATGGCCCCTTTGCTGTTCCTAAATGTGCACAGAGGAAAAGGTTACTTAAATGTTTTGCCATTTCCTACTACCCCTCAGCGCCTGACTACAAGACGCCAGCAGGAACTAACATTATACCATTACATGGCTCAGCAGTCTCCTACTCACCCACGTCCGGATCAGCCCTTTTGCTTCAGAGCACTGAGTAGTAGCGCCAAAGCAATAGCAGCTGCTGCAGCCAAGTGGATTCTTGGCATCAAGTCCGAATTTGCCAGGTCGGCATCTGTCACAGTGGACGCCTTCCACATTCACCTGAAGAAAGGCAAGAGACCCTCAGAGTTTCTGACAGCAAAGTTATGGAGGAAATCACCTTGAGAATTAATAATAGGAGCACATACTCTTTTTAAAAAATTTAAAACATAACAAAAGAACACTGAGTATTAGACTCACATCTCAAATGGCACATGTAGTTAACCTCATTGTTAGGAGTTCATGGGTCTTTCAAAAATTGCTTATTTATAAATAGATATAAGACTAAGGGTATTGTACATTGTTTTTTCAGTGTAAGCGGCACATTTCCTACAATTCTGCTCTGAGCAATATGAAAGACTCATGAAAATTTCAAAAGCAACATAAAAACATTGAGCCCTAAACAGTGGTGCTATTAAAAGCTGTAAGAAATAGGCAGCAGGTTAAAATATCCATTTATATAATTATTATAATATATATACATATATAACATGTATTAAATATATGATCATCATTACAAGATGTAATAATGCAGCATTGTACTCTGTGTTGGCTGAAACCCTTGATGGTAGAAACTGCCATTTCCTCAATTCTCAAGGCTATTTTAACAACCACTCCCCAGATTGTATCCTCCTGTTTCCTCTGTACCTCTTTGCATAGACTTTATCTTGAAAAGACACCTCTGACATGGTTTGAACTGCATTTATCCTGGAATTGATTTTTCAGAACTATCTGAGGGAAAAAATCCTTTTTATCCTTTTTAATTGGCTCTTTTTCTACATCATTTAACCATATTAATGAGGGCTGAAATTTACACATAGTCACTGTTTGTAATGACAGTGTTTATACGTGTTGAAATTTTACTAAACTTCCACAGCAGTAAATATGTTTTCTAGTGTACAGCGATTGCAGATTAATTTTTGGAGAAATGGTTTTTATAAGCCTTATTATTTAGCTGCGATTTTCTCTGATGATGCTTAAAAGAATTGTCTTCCCTGCCACCCCTCCCAGATAGATTGTCCTTACTGAAGCAAAGCTTATATATGTGTGTGTGTGTGTGTGTGTGTGTGTGTGTGTGTGTATGTATGTATATATGTATATATGTTTCACTTTACCATTGGAAATATATCATCTCTACCAACTAGATAAAAAGTTGGGTTTGGGTTGAAAATAAGGTCTAGAAAAGTAGTGTTTATCTGTATGCCAACAAATGCACATTAATGAAAACTCTGTGTTTGGCAATGAGATTTTGTCCGTCTGCTTGTTTAGCTTAATGAAGCAGGAGTAACAAACACTGAATGAAGTTAAAACTGAGCAGTGGAAACAGAAATTGAGGGAGGTTTTCCCTTATTTCCTTCAGCAACACATACCTTACAAGTGCACTGTCCAGTTTGATCACTACAGGAGCATTTTTTAGTCTCTAAATCACAGGTGGTAGCATCTGTTCCAGGGAGGAAGCAGTCACAGAGATGGCAGCGAGGGTAGTTCCAGTGACCTCGATTGCACTCTGTACATTTGGTACCCGAGAATTTTGGATGACAGTTGCATTGGCCTGTGTTTACATTGCATTGGAAATCCAAGGATCCCACTGTGCTGCAGTTACAAGCCTATGGAGGGGATAAAAACAGCAACCATTAACACAACTTTATGGGAAATATCTTAAAATTTTAATTCTAATGTTCCTGCTTCCATTAAACATGTATTAATCGTGTATCTATTATATGCTTTGTACTATTCTAGTTTAGTCACTTGGGAAACATCAGTGAACATAAACATTAAAATTGCTTCCTGCATTTATGAGAATATACGATCATCCAGAAACCATAATGCTATGTGAATTAGAAAGAAAATGTGTTTTCTCTGTCTTCTGGAGGTAGAGAAGAGTTGGGTATGGGTTTTCTTCAACTGCTCTTTGTCTCAAAGATTAAATTTTATCTTATTATCTTATAATTTTAGCATTTAAACATTTCTTTGGAGACATATCTTATGATCTAGTAAAGGGAGACAAGTAAATATGTTAACATAACATGATAGAATAAGCATTATATAATAGGAGAAGTCCAAAATGCCATGTGAACATCTACAGAGCACCAAACTAGACTTGGAGAATCCATGGTGAGCTTGAAGAGAAGTAACATCTAGTATACTGATTTTTCAGATTTATTCTTGCATACAATTCTGATTTGAGGAATTTATTAGTAATGTTATTTCTTTGCCCAAGATGTATATAGGATTTTCTCTTTATTTACATAATTCAAATTTTTGCTAGAATTTTTTAAGCTTGAGGATTTTTTTTTTTCATCAATTTACTGGAACATGGTGAGTTCTTTCATTTTGGGAACATAATTGTGTTTTGATTCAGTACTGTTTTTTCTTCAGATTTGTCTTTCATTTTTACATCTGTTCTAATTAATCAGTTTTCTTTTTCAGGATTACCTATAATTCTTAAAGTATATTTCCCTGGTCTATCTGTCAAATCTATAATATCCTAACGTCTTCTGCAATCATTTTCCTTTGCTTTATGTTTCTTGCTATATTTACCTCTCAAATTAGTTCCCTATTTTTACAGCTACCGCTTTACAGGAAAAGTTTTATTGTATACACATACAACCAATGCTTATTTTCATTACCCTATTGCAATCTTAACTTCTTTTGAATAATTTTATTTCATTTCACTCATCTTTAATTTCTGCTTATCCACTTGTCTTTTTGATTTATATTCTCCTTTTAAAGGTTTCTGCTCCTGATTTACAGAGCTTGTATCTTCTTGAAATTTAATAAAAATGCCAAATGAATTTCTAAAATGTCATTTAGGATCTGGAATAAGTAATTTTTCAGGGACCAGCTGTGCCAGTTTTCCATCTACTGTTTCTGAACTCTAAATTCACCCTGCTTTGTGATACAGCAGTTAGACCCTGTAGACAGTTCTCTGTATTGGGTGGTAGAATATTAGGCTTAGTCAATAGAGAGCCCTGGAAGGACCCAGTAAGTCCATAATGGCAGCCCTCCACACTTCCAGGCTGAGTTCTGGTTCTTCATTAGAATCTTCATCATTATTTTTGTATTATTTAGCATGGGAGCCCAGTGTCCCAGAAAGAATCCCAGCTGTGCCCTTAGTTGGGAGGGCACATTGCCTCCCCATAGGCACAGTGAAAACCACAATATCTTTGAACAGTGGAGTCTTTTACACTAATAAAAATTAAATCTAAATGAAGAAAGAGTTAAAGAAAAATCAAAAATGAAAATGTTTCCACTCCAAAAAATCATGATTCCCTAAGGTTGGTAGAACGAATGTGTAACAAGTCCTGGTTGTCATCAGTGCATTAGCGCCCATCAACATTCATGCTCTGGTGCCCTCTCTTCCCATCCCAAAGCACAATGCTTAACCAAAAAGAGTTAAGTCACAGACAAAGTACAAACACTATATGGTAGCAAACTCAGACACTTGTCTGTACTAGCTTTGGTCTGCACACATGCCCTGAGCTTGAAGTTTGCTTCTCAGTAGCTCCTGCATGCTCCTATGCCCCAAGAACAGTGGGCAGTTTCTACAGACACATTTGTCTACAAATTCTTGCATGTTTGTTTTGGTTTTGTCTGACCACCCATAGGCTGTATGTTTCTATGACAACAACACCTTCTTCAAAGACCTCTGAACCTCAGCTTTGCTGAATGTTGGAGGAGCATGCCCTTTCTTAGCCCTTAACTCCTTCACTGTCTCCCCTCCCTCAGCCTAAAGGGAGTAGCTGCTCTTCTGTACCTGTACTTGGGACCCCTTATAGCTTTCTTTTATCAGTTTTTAGTAACCAACCACCTTTTACCAGTTAACAATTCTACTTCACTGTTTAAAAAACCTGTGTGGTTTCTGTCTCCCAAGCAAAGCATGACTCAGTATTAGAAAGGTTATCGCCTCTCTGTGTCTGAGCTCACCACCATATAGTGTTTGTACTTTGTCTGTGACTTAACTCTTTTTGGTGCTGTTCTGTTAACCTTCTCAGATCTACAGTTCAATGGTGAACTCATACGCATAGCACCTTGCCAAATTCCTGGATCCAAGTCTGGCTGCATCTCACTGTGTATCTCACACCTGCCCTCCTGAGCTTCATTCTTATATTCACTGCTACCAAGGGTATTCCTGTTTTTGTTGCTGCTAACAGTAGTTTACTTGTGAGATTATTGTTTCTAGGATGTGAAGTATAATCACCAGCTTCTCCTCTATTGTCTTTCCCACCCAAATATTTGGTGAAATATCTTCCCAGGTTCTGATATTAAAATAATCATCAGGCTTGGATGTATATCTTGTCTTCATAGGTAAGAATTTTTCTATCTCCTTATTGCTGATCAGTAAAAAGGCTGCAATAAGGGCTGTGACTAGAAGATATTTTAAACCCAAAGATCTAAAATGTGGTTATTTGCATATCACCAGCATGGACACAGCTTCTAAGGCATAGAATAACCCACTAACCTCACCCCCAAGTAATTTAAAGAACATCAGACGTAGAATAACCTTTCAAAATTAGGATGACTTACATATTCACTTACATAGTTTTTCTTTGACAATTGCTTTGAGTATGTATTAACTCACTTAAACAAAATGGGCCATAATAGAAATTATGGTATTAATAGAAAATTTTGTTATCAAAACTATAATAATATAATAAATTTAAATTATTCTGAGAAATCCTTATCTTTAAATAACTAAAATATGAAATTATCCAAATAATTGTATAAAACCAAAGAACAAATTCTTAAGAAATAGTTGACAATACAAATAGAGATTGGGATTTTTCAAATCAGGAAGTTTATTCAGGAAGGTATAGTGGAGAATAAACCAGACCATTAACCATGTGTTTAGATAGTACTATGGCCAACATTAAACTTAAATCATAATTATATGTAATATTTGTTTAGCAATAGAGGATTTACTATTCCCCTGCTAGTGAAAGAAGGCAGGCTTGGTTTTCTACTTCAGTAAAGGCTCAAATGATGTGTATGCTCACACCTTAGCACAGAGAAATTATCCATGACACAGAGAAAGGGGAGGCATAAATCTTAAATCACTGCTCATTTAAATTAGTCATGCCAGTTTTAAAAATAGTAAAATACAGGCTCATAAATGAATTACTTGAGGGGGCTCTGATACAGTTGGATGTATGTCCCCACCAATTCTCATGTTAAAATATAATCCCCAATGTTGGAGGTGAACCAGTGGGAGGTGTTTCGATCATGGGGGCAGATCCTTCAGGACTTGGTGCTGACCCCAAGACAGCGAGTGCCTACTGGCAAGATCTGGTTGTTTAAGTGTGTGGCATCCCGCCTTTCTACCAATCCTGTCTTGGGGACACCTGTCCCCACTTGGCCTTCCATCATGATTAGAAGCTTCCTGAGGCCTTCACCAGAAACAAATGCCACTGTGCTTCCTATATGGCCTCCAGAACTGTGAGCCAATGAAACCTGCTTTCTTAGAAATTAACCAGTCTCAGGTGTTTCTTTGTAGCAGTGCAAGCATGGTCTGACAAAGGCCTTATGAGTTTTTTTTTTTTTTTTTTTTTTGTAATTTTCATAATGGTGAAGTGTTTCACTATTCAGAATTTTAGACTTTTAATGATGATTTTAAAGTAATCAAAATTCAATCAACTTTAGTCAACAGAATAATTATTTAATGATCAGTAAAAATGATAGTATCAAACACATAACTATGTTTTTATAGAAATTTGGACTGAACATTTATATATTGAACATTAGGCATCAACTTCAGTTTCAGGAATTTAATTAGAGTTTGGCTATATCATAGAATTTTGTGGGTAAAATGGAATTATTTTAGGTTTCCATAGGGCTTATTCCTGGTCTAAGTAATAGAGTGGATGCTTGGATTTGAAGCTGAAAATGCAAAAGTTGGTCATAGGCACTTATAGCATTGTTCATACTCATCAGAGCACTTTGAAATTCTGAGGAATTTTTGTTTTGTTTCTAAAAATGTAGCTCTCTCAAATTTTAAACTTAATAATGCTATTGGCAACAGAAAAATGAATGTCCTGTCCAGTTTTTATTTAATCACATGTCTAATTGAAGTCAGATATCTGAATTTCCTTGAAGAATCATCAATATTCTTGTTTTCCTCTAGGTCAGCATATTCTGGACTAGGTTCAAATTTTTTATCATATATGTGAAGATGGTTAGAGACTATTATTTCATCTGTGCTAACTTAGGGGAAAAAAGAGATCACACCTCTATAAGGTACTGCTATAGGGTCAAACTGAACCACACTTTGTTATCATATTCCAATATTCCACAACCCAATGGAATCAATTAAAATGACTCCCACTAACATAAAAAAATGCCCTTATTATTGCTCTTAAATCTAATGGACGCACTTCAGGGCTAATCCTACTTGACCTTTGTGTCGCATTAGGCACTGAAGAATATTCTTCTTTTGAACAGTCTCTTCTTAGTGTTTACAGTACTTATTCTTCTTTGTTAAGCTGTTCAACTACACAACCAAATAAAACAAAAATTCAAACCAAGAAACAACTGCTTTTAGATATTAAATTACAGGAGGCACAGGACTGTGATTTCTGACAGAAGGAAAAAAAAACATGAAGCAGTGCAC